TGAGTGCTGTGTTCACTTTCTGTACTGTTACTCAGTCCTCACTGGGTATTGATACTGCAGGCTCCTTGCCTCTCCCAAGGGTGAGCTGCTTCTGGAGAACTCGGCAGACAGCATACAGCAAGCTCTCCATGTGTCTGCACTGGGCTGTGCACAGAACAAAGTGCCATGACATTGCACATTCCTATTACACCAAGCTTGGCTACAGAAATCCTATCAGTGTGTGCTGGGCTTCAGGACAGGGGTAGCTCTGAGCATCAGGCTTGCGTCTGCCTGAAGGAGCCTTGTCTGCCAGGTGGAGGGTCTCAGGTCTGTGCAAGCTTTGCTATACTTGGCTGTTGTATTTCTTACCATGTGTCAGAACTTCACTTTCTCTTTTGAATTGTATGTTTATAATTTATTGTATTTTTTTAGTGCATGTTTGCAGGTCTTAATGATTACAGTCATGGTGAAGTTGGTACATTTAATGTGTAAAATGGAAATTAGGCCCTGCGTGGGTGCATTGTGCTGGGATCTATAAAGCATAGATTTTCACACAGTTGCTTGCCCAGCACACACTCCCTGTCCTCAGGCATTGCCTCCTTGAGGCTCGGCTTGCTCTGGGTGACCCTGTCTCCATGGCAAGGCAGTGGGCAGCGGGGCACAGTGTGAGAGACGAGTAGCACCTGGCCAAGGAGGGGTGAGTGTGTGTACAGTCAGGGAGGAGCCCAGGGCAGCTGATGCAGGTCAGGAGCTGCGGGATGTGTGTGTGGAGACTGAGAAGATGGTTCCTGCAGCTCTCATGGGCACAGGCTCAGCATGGCGCTCTGTGCATCTCCAACAGCTCGGGCAGGATCCTTGGGGACAGAGCAGGGCAGGTCTCACTGGGCTGGCCTTGTCCTGCACACGGCTGAGCTGACCCAGCTGAAAGGTGGGAAGAAGTGGGGTCGCTGCACATGAGGGCAGTGTGGGAGGGAGGCCAGGGAAGAGCCTGTGGTCTCTACCGAGGCAGGGCCCTGGAACGATGGTGACACAGAGATTCCCTGGCCTCTCATGGAAAAGCAACCTGCTGGTGGAGTTCAAACTCCCCTTGCCAGAGATACCAAACTGCCCTAAGCCCAAAAGGTGGAATCCCAGGCATAGCAGTCCATTTTGGAATATGTTTTTCAAAACTGCTTAGTGAAGCTGGATGAGGTGGTGCATATCTGTAATCTATTCTGGGAAGCTGAGGCAGGAGGATCACACACTCAAGCCCAGGCTGGGTAACTCAGCTACTTAGTGAGAATCTGTGACAAAATTATAAACAAAAATTAAATGGGCTGGTGAGGTAGTTTAGTAAGACGGTCCTAGGTTCAATCCCCAGTACTGAAAAACAAAGTACTGTTTGTAAAGTCCCTCAGACTGGAGGAATCTGCAGTGTGAGGGGCAAGACTGGACTCGCCTCTAGGAACCTTCAGCTCCTGGTAACTGGAATGCTCTGAGATTTCATATTTTATAATAAAATTTAATGAGGATCTAGAGAACTTTTCTCCATGTTCATGTAGGAGGGGTGGGGCAGTGCTGTCCTGTCCCTCTGTCCTCTGAGATGTGATGAACGTTAGCCATGGACTAGCCCCATGTGACCCCTGGATTCCTGTAGAGCTGCATTTCTCAGAGGTCACCGGGAGCTCTGTGCCCCTGATCCTTTATGTTCTACCACATGGGACAGGCAGACCTTACAATCTTGAGCCTGTCTCTGGCAGTGACAGTGACCCAGAAACCCCACTGGCAGGATTCCATCTGAAAAGTAAGGTTTACAGACAAAGCTGTTCCTTTTGGCTCAGGTATGGGATCAAAAAACCAGGAAATTGTCTGGAGCAGAGGTTTCTGAGACAACTGTGTCACTGTCGCCACAGAAAGTTTCAAGGGACGGAGCATGGCAGGGCCATGTCCCCAGTGCCACATGAGCGGACAGGGCAGCTGTGGCCTGACACCCCGGCCCCCAGGAGCCACGACACAGCCTGAAACCCGAGATCCAGACTGAAGGGGGAGACCTGGGGTGTGGGGAGCAGGCTTCCGGGTGGGATGACTGCGACTGCGTCATCTTTTACTCTTCTTTCACACTGCATTACTTATTTTACTGCAATAAATATTTCCTGTGTGAATAAAGAACTGCATAACTTACCGAGTAGGTCAATGAAAAATGCCAAGGATGTATCTAGATTTCCCCTTCTACACGAAGGAGATTCTCCAGACCCTTCCAGGATTTGTGGCCAAAGAGATATCTGGTTGCATGATGTCAAAATTGTAGAATAGGTGAATTAATGGAGACATAAGATGAGTGGTGGCCAGGGACTGAGCAGA